CCCACTCCCTTCTGATAAGGATAGTAGTTGTCTGTTTCCTTGTAGGAGACCCCAGAGGTCAAGCCCACCCAAGGGTGACCAAGGTTAGGCCGCCATCATGAATCTAGGGTCCGTTCATCTTTTTTTTTTTTTTTAATAGATGAGCTTATTTATTCAATGCTCTATTTTATTTTTGACTGGACTCAGACTTAAAGGTGGAAGCCCTCGGCGAGGACAGCCTCCTTCTCTTGGCAATCTGTTCCTGCTGTTTCTCTTTGGCCTCCTTCATTCTCTTGGCCAAAAGTTTGGCGTATTCCGCGGCCTCCTCCTCGTTTTTCTTGGTGCGCTGCTGCTTCAGGGCAATGCGCCGGCGCTTGTGCTGCAGGACGCGTGGAGTCACAAGACGCTGAATCATGGGCGCTTTGGTCCTGGGTTTCTTGCCTTCTTTGTTCAGGGGCTTTCTCTTCTCACAACACACTGGCGGACGTCATCTTCGTTAGAGAGGTTAAAGAGCTTGCGGAATCTGCCGGCTCTTTGGGGCCCCAGGCGACGAGGCACAGTTGTATCAGTCAGTCCTGGGATATCTTTCTCCCCTCTCTTTACGATAACCAAGTTAAGAACGCTCCTCAGATTGGCATCCACAATGCAGCCCGGTACAGATTTGCGCTTCCTCTCCCCAGTTCTCCTTGGTCTGTAGCAGGAGTGCCCCTTACTCAGCAGTAGGCAGACACGGCAGTGGGTCAAGACACCTTGCTTCATGGGAAAGCCTTGCTTGTCATTCCCACTGCTTATACGGACAACATAGCCCTTCCATTCATCACCCAGCACCTCGGCGGCGACTCCCGTGGCCATTCGCTTCTCATAAAAAGTGTGAAGTGTGCGTTCATCGTCCACTTCAATGAGTTTCTGGCAGCCAGTGGCTGGGAAGGAGATGTTCAACTTCATGGTGAAGCAGCTGACTGCTCCGCGACGCCACGGAAACGAGCAGGGTCCGCTCATCTTTTCACATGTATACCTCTAGTCCCTCCCCTTCCTATCATGTGCACAGCCCTAGCTCATCCCCTTCCTGTCACGCTTATGCGTGTCATAGATCCCCTTCCTACAATGTGTATGCCTATTGTATTGCCCCTTCCTGTGACCTGTGGTTACCTGTAATCATGTTCCCCTAATGAGATATAACCCTTGGTTAGCAATAAAGTGGAGGCTCTCTCTGGTCCTCGCTCCCGGGGGCTCTCCTGCTCTCGTGGTGGCCGGGCTCCCCCCACGAGGACCACCAAGCAGGGCTGAGGTGAGCATGCTACTATGAACTGTGTCTGACTCCATTATGTGACTCTCTCCTCTACCTCTCATGCTATGACTTCACTGTAATCTTTACTTATTATCGCTGTACAACTGCGCCTACTGGACCTGTGATGATTTGTGGGGGACCCTCCTCACCCCACAGTTAGCAATAAATGGGGTCCTGGAGTCTCCTCCCGGGTCTCTGCCCACCTCTCCTCAGCCCATGCTGTGCGCAGACCTGGCTGGTAAGATCATGGCCATCCGGGAAGTGAGCACACAACCATGAATTGTGTCTAACTCCATTATTTCAATCTCTCTTCTATCTCTCATGCTCTCGATGACTTTAATATAATTTTTATATATTTCAACCATACAATTGTGCTTATTGAACCTGTGATTAGTGGTGGGGGGCTGGCACCCCCTCCAACCACAGGCTGCCAATCTGGCAGATGGCCAATGAGACTTCTGTGTGGGCATGGCCTTCTCTAGAGAATTCTAGAAAATCTGATAATTCCTTCTTGGAGGCAGGAGACACAATCTCTCTGGGTTCATTGCCTTGGAGACTCTCTACTGACAAGGCTGACATCCTGCAAGGCATCCCTAAGGAGATGGCACATGGCCCTACCCTGATGCAGCCTTGGGAACTGGAATGGCCACGTGGAGACCCCTGCCAGTGCTGAGAGAGATGCTTCTACCACCAAAGACTTTCTACCCACTGGCCTATGATCTTCTACATTCAGCGTCACTGCATGTGTTTCATGAGTCTAAAGAGGCCTTTATAGACTGCTGTCAGACATATGGGCTAATATCGGACTTATGACCTTGGAGTGAACTGGGTTGGGATGTTTTCTCAATGTTCAGTTCCTTTTGTATATACAGTGAACCCTCGTTTATCACGGTTAATCGGTTCTAGACCCTACCGTGATAAATGAAATTCCGCGAAGTAGGATTCCTTATTTGTAAATCAAATATTTTCATAGTTAGAGCATAGAGGACATGAAAAAGCACCCTTTAGTCACCATTACACTCGTATTACCCAATTTATTAAACAAAAAAGGGAAAATACAGTAAAACATTTTGGACGTTACAATTATCATTTATTATTTATTATATTATTTATGGCATCTAGTTTACAGTATTACATATTTCACATACAGTATTATTATACATAGTTCTTACAAATACTGTAATCAATAGCCTATGAAATGACTTAAGGGATGTATTCTACAGGTGGGTTGACGTCTTTTTCCTCTGAAGGAGCGGGTGTAGGCAGTGGGTGCTGTTATGCAAAAAACATGATAGACTGAAGCCGCGGAAGTCGAAGCGCGAAGTGGTGAGGGTTCACTGTAAACCTCTCCCTTATATACATATGTGTGTTTATGAATTTGTTTCTCTAGTCTACCCAGACTAACAAAGGGGGGCTGGGTGACACAGCTGGAGGAGATAGCAATAGGATGTCTGCTTCTGTAGGGAGATAAAATCAACCATGTGCTCACTTTAAGGCAGCATAGCTGTTAGGGGAGAATCTGTGGAAATATTTCAAGCAGAATAATGTACTTAGACTTTATCTCTAACTTAACCAAAGTGGAGGCCTTCCTCCCGTGGAATACTAGTTTTCTGGATTCCCTGTTATAAATTAGGGAATATAGTCCTCGTCATATTTCCTTCCATGCTGGTTTTCCACACACAATGGCAGTCCCTCCCCTGGTGTCACAGTAGGTTAAGCATTCAATGTCAGAGCTAAAACCCACTAGCTGCCTTGAGAATAGAGCATATGCTCCTATGGAGCATGAGAATTAGGAGCATGAGAATTTAGTCTCAGAAACTCAAAGGAGCAGGTCTACTCTGTCCTACAGGGCCTCCGACCGAAAGGTTATTAGCATTTGATGGCAGTAGTTCCGTTTGGTTTTGTTGGGTTTTTTAAAATCATTTTACTGGGGGCTTGTACAATTCTTATCACAATCCATAGATACAGCCATTGTATCAAGCACATATGTACATTTGTTGGCATCATCTTCAAAACATTTTTTAATAGTTTTATTAGGGGCTCATACAACTCTTATCACAATCCCTACTTACATCAATTGTGTAAAGCACATTTGTACATTCATTGCCCTCATCATTCTCAAAACATTTGCTCTCCATTTAAGCCCTTGGCATCAGGTCCTCATTCTTTCCCCTCTCCAAACATTTGCCTTCTACTTGAGTCCTTAGTATCGGCTGCTCATTTTTCCCCCTCCCTTGATTTTATTTTTGAGTTAATTTGATACAAGACTGAGACACAATATTCTAGAGTAGAGGCAAGCACTCAGAATATCACAAAACATGGTTTGTTAGGTCAGCTTAAACACACAGGCAAACAACTTATAATACCATACAAAATGAACAACTAATTTCTTATCCTAAAACACAATTACCTTAGAGGAAAGAGAGGATAATCTAAAAGGTAATTCTTCCTACAGAATGTAAGAAAAATGAGTGGGTGGAAACTCATTTTTCTTAAAGTGAGTACTGAAATTTTAAATTACTTATTGAAATTACATATTTAAAAAAATTTTTGTTATACATATTTTTTAACAAATCTTTCAACAGTGTCCATTAAGGGGAAATGCAGGCTTGTTTGTTTCTTACACGGTTTCATTATTTTTTGAACCTTGCTGATTAGATAGGCCTCTAATTGGAAAGTACTGAAAAGTTGTTACTAATTTAACAAGCACTGTTATGGGGTAAAGACCTTAGATTCTAATTTACCATGTAGCGAATTCAGTTTATTTAAGTTAAACGTTTAACTCTTCTTAGTAAATGCATGCCAGTTATTCATGGACCTTTCCCCTCTTACTAAATAACATGTACCCTCAGAAAACGGGCGGTGCACTACGTCAACACATGAATCCTTATGCGCACCCCAACCTGAGGACTCTGAAGTGAGTCCCAAGGGGGGACTACTACCACCAGCGCTGTAAGGAACAGCGCACAAGGGAGGGGTCGATCTAGTAACGACCAGTAGATGGCAGTGAAAACACGTAAGAGATTTGAAGAGCAGGACACTGAGTTAAAAGTAAGTGGCTGGAAGCTAAGGGAGCTGCGTGTGGAAGTCGAGAAACCGCTTCCCCAAGAATCTAGGAACCTAGGGCGGTGGGGAGCCAAAACTCCCAAGGCTGGTCGGCCGTAGTCTCAGCTTTCCTGGGGTCGTGAAAGGAAGTGTTTTCGATTTCCCATTCTGATACAAGTTACTGTAATGTCAAAAAGAAATACTGCCACTGGTTGGAGCAAATGTAGCTTATAGAAGGCAAGAAACATGTTACAAGAAGTTACGGACATCCATACATTCTTTATGTCGTTAGACCAGGAACCAACATAGTTGGTTAGTTGGTTTTTTGCTACAATGTATCATATTGTGAACCACCCTTGTATTACTGAGATATCAAAATCAAAATCCTAATGTTTTGATTTTCCGTGGTGCACTTTTGACCTTGGTGCCGCAGCGGGAGCAGTGTGGTTGCAGCGCTCGCTCTAACCTGAACAGCGCCGCCGCCCCGAGCGCCGGGGGAGGTGGCCGTCCTCGTCGGGAGGGTCAGCGGCCTGGGGAGCGCGGGGGCATCGCCTTGCTCGCGGGGCTGTGCGCTGGGGTCGACCGAGGGACGCTGGTCCGGGTACGCTGACACAGTGACAGTGCTACTGGTGGTTTCCGCCAGCGCATTTCCGGGAAGAACGACGTGGCGATGAGTGTTCATACAAGTTCACAGCCTTGGAAGATCTATTTTGGAAAAATGACCACTGAGGTGCTTTAAACGCAAAAACTCGGGAAGATGCTTGGCAACGGAAACGAGTGGACCGTCAGATTAGACCGCGTCCACGCCAGCCCAACACTTGCGAGCGTGTGCAGGTGTCCACAATTTTCCCAGGAGCACCTCGGGGAGCATGAGCGGAAGTCACGCGTGGGGCGCTGTGCGCAGTGTTGACTAAGCGTGCGTGCCGTACTCCGAGCAAGGAGTCCGCTTCCGCTCTGCCCTCCCTGCCGCCCCCACGAGCGGGACGAACACCGGGTCTTCGCGGTCACCACAGTAAGAGTCGTTCTCACAGAAGTGGGGCAGTGCCCCTGCCCCTCCCCACAGTGAGGGCGGCGTCGCGGCCGAGGGACCCGCGCGACACCACTTCCGGCCGCGCCGCTCCCGCTCCAAGATGGCGGACGAGGCCACCCGGCGCGTGGTGTCCGAGATCCCCGTGCTGAAGACGGGCGCCGGGCCCCGAGACCGTGAGTTGTGGGTGCAGCGACTCAAAGAGGAGTATCAGTCCCTCATCCGGGTTAGTCGTGCCCCCGCGGCGGAGCGCGTCCTCGGAGGGTGGCTGGTGACGCGCGGAGTGTCCCGGAATCGGTTCCGGGTGAAGGCGCTTCCGGCTCGGGGCCGGAGGACGAGCGCCGGCGGTGGGGAGGCGCCCGAGGACACTCGGTTCCGGAGCAGAGTGGGTTTCTGGCCGAGAGCCGCAGCTCGTTCAGAGACGCCTCCCGGGCGGCGACGTGTCTCTGCGGCACCTGGCTGGGCGCGCGCGGCGGGGGGCGGGGCCAAAAGACCCCCGGTGTGCACTGTCCCCCTTCCCGCCTGTTCGCACCTTCCTGTGTCCTGAGCGATACCCGATAGGGCTGGAAATCCAATGAAATGTTCGTTGCTGAGAGAATTGCACAACAGGAACGAGCGTCTTCGTTTTGAATCCGTTTTTGTTGGAAGAAAGCTTGTCTTCCTTGCAATGATTTTTGTCTCCTGCAAGACTAACAACTCTCTTCCTGCATGCATTAATTAAAAAGCATTATGCAGCTGGTATCTAGGGAAGACATACAAAGCCCAGTATGGTACGGTCTACAGAGGCCGTCATTAAGATAGATAGTTTACAGGAAAAAAGAGAAACATGGTTAGGATATTTTGAAAGCATGGAAGCAACTCTGAACTTACTTATTCCCTCATACATATCCCTTTTTCCCTGACCATCCTCCAGCTCTCATATTTAACAAACTTTTCTTACCTGTAAGTGTCCGTTTAAGAGTTTGCCTATTAAACATGAGGACCAGAGGAGATTCAGGGAAGAAGTGGCAGCATGGATAAAGGCATGGAAGATTGAAATGATGTTATATTTATGAAGGGACAAGTAGTTCAAGGTTGCTCATGCATAAAATGGGAAGCAGAGCGCAGTAGCTGAAGCTGGAGAGAGAGGCATGAGCTTGGATTTTATCTCGCAGGCATTGGCATACCTTCAAAGGACATCATGGTCAGATTTGGGTTTATTTGAAAAGCAAATAGAATTGAGGAGGATAGGGTTGAAGGCTGTCATTCATCTGAGTGAAAAAAAATGATCCAAACTAGACTGTTCTGGGGAGGAGAGAGAGAGAGATATCTGAAGAATACTCAGGACATTGTGAAGGATTTGGAGGAGGAAAAGAAGATAAAGGGTCAAGAATGATCCCCAGATTTGGAGACTAAGTGAATGGGAACACAGGGAAAGAGACAGGTCTGAGAGACTACTGTGAATTCCAGGTGTAGATGTTGAGTTGGAAGTACCTGAGAAATGTGGTGTCCCTGTGCTAAAGTTAAAGATTTTGGAGTCATTAGCGTGTGGGTGTTAGTGGACACTAGGGCTTCCAGGAAGAGAATCTACCAGGAAATCAGTTGTGGACTGAGAGCAGACACTGTCAGAGGCTTGGAGAGGTCCTAGGTGATGTCATCAAGCCTTCTGTGGGTGCTAAAGTGAGTGGTAGGGGCTGGGTGGCACAGTGGTTAAGCATTCAGCTCATAACCACTAGGTCAGTGATTTGAACCCACAGGAGAAAGCTATAGCAGCCTGTGGAACAGCCCCTGGGGCAGTTCTACTCTGCCCCGTAGGGCTGCCGTGAGTCTAAATCAACTGGACTGCCACAAGAGCAACCCACACAGCCTGTGCTCTGGGTGAACCCCTCATTTGTCAGTGTGGTGTTGCCTTCAACTTTGCTTACGCGAGAAAAGGCGATAAACATACTAAGAAAGTAATTGTGTTTTTCTTTTTATTTGTGGGGAGACTGTCCTTGGCCTCAACCCCTTCAAATGCCTCCTTCTCTGCTTTCAGTATGTGGAGAACAACAAGAATGCGGACAATGATTGGTTCCGCCTGGAGTCCAACCGAGAAGGGACACGGTAGGTAGGCAGGCAGAATACTCTGGGGAGGGATTCTGGTGGGGAGGGTCTTACCTGTCTTGAGTAATGTGGCTCCCCAATCCCACTGCCAGAGCTGTCCTCTCTCATCTGTGTCCATCTCCCCAACTCCAAAGCTTCCCAATCTCCACCCCACAATGAGGCACCCATGGGGAGAATGGACACAAGGGGACTGAGGTTTGGTTTTTGTCAACAGGTGGTTTGGGAAATGCTGGTACATCCATGACCTCCTGAAATATGAATTTGACATTGAGTTTGACGTGAGTATGAAGGAATGGAAAATGTGGAGGCTGGTAGAAGGGGAGGAATTAGCTGATTGTTAAACTCACCTCACTGGGAGAAACCAAAGAAAACCCATTAAATGGGAGGGGCAAGATGCTGTGTGAAGCAAGCAGAGGTTCAGTTCTAGTGTGTGCATGCTGCTTGGAAAGCTTGCTGAACAGTTCAGTTCCACCAAGAAACGTGTCTGATGAGTTTATTTCTCCTCATTCCCTGTTCCATTAAAACTTTATAATTCCTCCAGATTCCTATCACATATCCCACTACTGCTCCAGAAATTGCAATTCCTGAACTGGATGGAAAGACTGCAAAGATGTACAGGTAAAATCGAATAGGAGATGGGAAAGGGTCGAAGAAGACTTTAGGGAGGAACTCTGGGAGGCAGAAGATTCCCCAGAGACGAGTGGCCTAGAGAGGCTCCAGGCCAGTGAAGGACTTAGCTGACTTTGTTCTCAGTTCTGATCACTAGTAGTCTTCCTGTGTTCCCAAGAGATTGCTGGGCCTTATGGTAAACCTCACATACCAACACCTTCCTTGGCTTCCTCTCATAGGGGCGGCAAAATATGCCTGACTGATCACTTTAAGCCTTTGTGGGCCAGGAACGTACCCAAGTTTGGACTAGCACACCTCATGGCACTGGGGGTAAGTTTGGTGTATTTTATATATAAGAAGGCGGGATGGGAGAGACCCTGAGAGTTACCAAAAAAAAGTAGCTGTAAGTCACCCAGTTCCATCCTTTGCACATGTTCCTTTCAGAACCCCTCTCCAAAAGGAACCTCTGGTGGGCAAGATGTGTTGACTGGGTGATTGTAATCACAAGATTTCCCTTGTATTGCAGCTGGGTCCGTGGCTGGCTGTGGAAATTCCGGATCTGATTCAGAAGGGCGTGATTCAGCATAAAGAGAAATGCAACCAGTGAAGGATCAAGTCATAGAGACAGGACAGGGGGGCCTTTGATAGAAGAGGTCTTCTGTTTCCTGTGGGTTAGTTTTCTTACTCATCCCCCTTGCCCGCCCCCCGCCCCCCGCCCCCCATCCCTAGCTGTTACGAAGTAGTTGCAGCATTGCTGGTGGTAGTAGGGGACACCTGAAAAGAAATAAAATCATATTGCTGCTGAACTTCTAAATTAGGCTGCACAGAGAAGGGAAAGACTTGGGCCTTGGAAACCAAAAGACACTTTAGAGCGTCTTCCCAGCTGGGGCAAGGTTAGAATCTATAGGGATTGGGGTTAATTCGAAGTTGATTTCCATTTGTTTGTGGAGATAACCCATCAATAAAAGCTGCTTCCGCTGGTGGCCTGTGGTTCTCATTGGTGTCTGTTAACATGGGTGGGCAGACATGCATACAGCTACACTTGGTCCAGAGGGAGGGGAAAGTCTAGGGTGCGTGGAGCGTTAAGGAAACTGACTGCTCGCCCTGCTGCTGAGATCTGCCTTTTTCCTCTTCCTGTTGAGCTATGCTGCGCTCTACTGCGTTGGCCTGCAAAACGCCAGAGAAGGGAGTTTTGCACAGTCAGCACAGCTTTCTGTGGCGGGTTGGATGCCACTGCACTGGTCTGCAGGCCGAACCCCGGCCCAGCCCATTCCCGTAAGGGCACACCTGCATCTGGGGGGCATACTGTGATTGCACTATGTGCATCCCTGCAGACCAGGAGATGAGGGGACAGGAGCCAATACCTCAGGGAGCGGGGGTTTAAAATTCATTCTAGGCAGATGGAAAACGGCTGGTCCTAACGTTGGCCGCGTTTCCATGGTGTCGACCGCGGAGCCAAGGGGGCGGGCTCACGCAAGCGCCAAGGAAGCGGGCGGGCGGGAGGCGAGTGTCGGTGCGCAGGCGCCTTGAGAAACAGTGAAGCCGGTGGCCCCGCGCCGGGCAGGACCAACAAAGATGGCGGTGGCGCCTGCGGCGGGAGCGATCAGGGTGGCAGCTGCGGCTAAAGCTGCAGCCCGGCCCGCGGGGGGGCTGCACGAGGGTAGGAGGGGGTGGCTTTGAGTTGGGGCCTGGCCCCGGCTGGCCTTCCCCGCCGCCTCACCGGGGGACAGGTACGGGCCGGGCGTTATGGCGTGGGGGACTGAGGGAAGGCTGCCCCAGCCCCGGGAGGACGCTCTCCACAAAGGCAGAAGTGCCGTGGGGCCCAGAGGGGCCTGGGAGAACTGGGCTGACGGGACTGCATCCCTGGATCCAGGGGAAATACGCCGCCGGACCCCGTAGCCAATCAGCGGCCTCGGCCTTTTTGCCCTCGAGGGGGGCGGACCCGGCTTAGGCCCTGCTGGGGTGGGAGAGGTGCAGCAGATATTAGGGGTCACGGAGTGGTGCCCACTCAACCCGACACCACGTCGGAGCTCAGGGGTGGGGGAAGGAGTGAATCGCAAGTCGTTTCCTCCCCCCTGCCCCGTTTAATCGGCTGCTTTGCAGCGTGGAGGGGCAGGTTTCCGAGGGTGGACTGTTATCCTTACCCCCACACCCCCTATTTGACCAGAGGTCCTAAGTGACTAGGGTCGCGTCCCACTGAACTAGACAGGTCTTCAGAGAGTAAAGACGGTGGTGATGGGAACCATCACGGGGTTTCTGTAAAGCTATGTTGCAGGGAGGCGGTGGGAGACCAGAAAGGGTCAAGTCGTGGGCTGCTATCACTCATTTGTATACTCAACAGATACTGAGTCTATACACAACCTAGGTACTAGGGATGCAATGATACGAGAGGCGCAGAGCGCAGAGAGGTTACTAGGGAAGGAACCCTAGTTCCCATGGCCCTGCATACTCAAATGCTGACCATCTCTTCTCCTCCCAGGTCCAGCCTGTGGTGTCCACAATGCCCCAGGCCTCTGAGCACCGCCTGGGCCGAAACCGAGAGCCACCTGTTAATGTCCAGCCCCGGGTGGGATCCAAGTTATCACTTGCCCCCCGGGCCCGCAGCAAGGAGCGGCGCAACCCAGTCCCTGGACCAAACTCTATGTTAAGACCTCTGCCTCCCCGGCCAGGGCCCCCAGAGGAGCGGCTCAAGAAATTGGAGCTGGGGCCGGGAAGAGCCTCGGGCTCTCGGTCCAGAGGCCCTCTTCGGGCAGATCATGGGGTCCCCCTGCCCGGCTCACCACCACCAGCCGTGGCTCTGCCTCTCCCGTCCAGGACCAACCTCGCTCGGTCCAAGTCTGTGAGCAGTGGGGACTTGCGCCCAATGGGGATTGCCATGGGAGGGCACCGTGGTGCTGGGGAGCTGGGGGCCGCACTGAGCCGCTTGGCGCTCCGCCCTGAGCCACCCACTTTGAGACGCAGCACCTCCCTCCGCCGCCTAGGGGGCTTTCCTGGGCCCCCCACCCTGCTCAGCATACGAACGGAGCCCCCTACCTCGCATGGCTCCTTCCATGTGATATCTGCCCGGTCCTCTGAGCCTTTCTACTCTGAAGACAAGATGGTGAGGACTAGCCAGCACACTTGGCACTTCGTGCCCATGATCTTCCACACTCCTAGCTTTTCTTGTCGGAAAATGGCTTCCCCTCTCTTCCTCTGGCATCCCACCATTCTCGCCCTTACTTAAATACCGCTGAGCCTCATAGACCCGTTTCTGGGTTGCCCATGACTCCCCAGCATGATGTGTGGGGTCCCCAGGGAATTAACCCAACTATTTGGAATTCTTTATCGAGTCCCCAGCCTCTGCCTTTCCCCTGCTGCACTCTCTCCCCTCGGACTCTGCTGGGGCCTAATTAATCTCTGGAGCTGAAGAGGGGTGGACTCAGAACGTCTGAGATAGCGTGCCAGCCTGTTTCCCCAGCTAAGTGAGCTAGGCTGGTCGCAGTTGGGAGCCAGCAGGAGAGGGTGCAGGAAGGGGCCACGGGGGCAGGAGGGGGTCTTGGAAGCAGTAAGGTGGGGGTGGGGAGCACCTGGGCAGCCATGCCAGTGCTTGGGGAGTTGCCCCAGGAGCTGCAACGCAGGTTAGCTGGGCAGAGGAGTAAGTGGGGCACAGGTGGGACAGCCATGGCTCAGTCCGTGGTACACTCAGCTGTGATGGGCTTACTGTTCATGGCCAGTGAGGTAGGGAGACCAGAATATTAAGTGAGCGAAAGAGTTTGGTGGCGAAGCGTGTCGGGGTGGGGCGGCCGTGGGCAGCATGTAGTTGAAAGGTGGTAGTGCCAGGTAGGCTCTTTGGGAACCTGCTGACTGTATTCTAACCTCCCAGGCTCATCACACACTCCTCCTTGGCTCTGGTCATGTTGGCCTCCGGAATCTAGGGAATACGGTAAGCCCTTCTCTCCTTCCTCTCCAAAAGGAAAGCCAAAGAAATGGGGTGGGGGTGGGGGGAGAGCTTGGGCTGCTGACTTGGGGAGGGGTGTGGAAGGAGAGCAATTGAAGCTCTCCCAGCACTTCCAGGGCACTGGTCTGAGAGATAATAGCAATGTCCATACCATTCCCCAGTGCTTCCTAAATGCCGTGCTACAGTGTCTGAGCAGCACTCGGCCTCTTCGGGACTTCTGTCTGCGAAGGGACTTTCGGCAAGAGGTGCCTGGAGGGGGCCGAGCCCAAGAGCTCACTGAAGGTGGGGCATCCACTCCTGCTCCCTGCTTTCAAACCCCCTCTTCCCTTCCCCGTACAGGTTCATCTGTCAGTGCTGGCAGCCTCCAGCCCTTTAATCTGGCAGTTGTAGCCACTTTTCCCTGTGCCTATTTGCCTAGAGGTTACGTTCCACCAAGTCTCCTCCTGCTGGCCACTTCCGCCATTAACCTTTGTTTCCTTTCCCCACTCCTACCCAATAGCCTTTGCAGATGTGATTGGTGCCCTGTGGCACCCTGACTCCTGCGAAGCTGTGAATCCTACTCGGTTCCGAGCTGTCTTCCAGAAATACGTCCCCTCCTTCTCCGGATACAGGTGGGAGAGCTTGGGGGTATGGGCTTGCCCTCTGCCACGTCCGGATGTAGGCCATGCACAGGCTCTGAGATGTCCTCAGAAAATGAGAACTGATGTTTGGGCAGGGGGCAGTGTCTGGGCTAGAAGCTCCGTGACCCATATTCTCTGTCTGGCTACAGCCAGCAGGATGCCCAAGAATTCCTGAAGCTCCTCATGGAGCGGCTGCATCTGGAAATCAACCGACGAGGCCACCGGGCTCCCGCAATCCTGGCCAACAACCCAGCTCCCTCACCACCCCGCAGGGCAGGGGCTCTGCTGGAAGATCCTGAGCTAAGGTAAAGGTCCCGCCCCCTCCCTCCTCTCCGCAAAGTTCCAACGTTTCAGAGCAGCATTTTTCTTGAGCTAGACAAAACTGAGGATTCTGGGTCCAGGGAAATCCTTTAGCCTAGGAAATGGTTTTGAATGGCAGTGCCAAGGGAAAGCAGGGAGCCTGAGGAGCACAGGCAGAGGAGAGAAGCCTGCTAAGGATGTTACCATATTGAGGTGGGGGAGAATCATTCATTTAAACCTGGGATGTAAAGGGTTTGAAGCCATGTCTGCATCGTCTGCATCGCTTCCCCTCTCACCTTGGTTTTCCCCAGAAAGTTCTGTGAAGTGTTATTCCCTTTGACTCTTCCTCGAACTGCAGGGAAAGGGGCAGGAGTGGTTGAGCAGGAAGGGAACAGAGCTCTGTGGATCATTTAAGTGGTTGGGAGCACTCAGTGGTCCTGCTGTCTCATGGCTGCTCTCCGCTTCCCTTGATCTTGGCAGTGATGATGACCGAGCCAATCTAATGTGGAAGCGGTACCTGGAGCGAGAGGACAGCAAGATTGTGGGTATGAAGCAGGGCAGCGCCAAGGGGGGCACACAAGGCATAGGAGACAAACATGGATGGTCTCCAAGGCGGTGAAAACAGGAGTGGGTGATACCAGTGTGGAACTGACACGAAGAGTTTGCTAGATGTGTTGGAAAGAGAGTCAAGCGAAGGGGAGGGGGGAGGGGTGGGCGTGGAAAACAGGAGAATCCAAGAAAGCGTCTCAGACGTCTGACAGTGGCTTTTTCTCCTGTCCTGTTGCTTGTGTCTAGACCTGTTTGTGGGCCAGTTGAAAAGTTGCCTCAAGTGCCAAGCCTGTGGGTATCGCTCCACGACCTTCGAGGTTTTTTGTGACCTGTCCCTGCCCATCCCCAAGGTGGGATTCCACAGGATTCCAAGGGCGGATGGGCCCTGGGTTCTGTGGCCCAGTGCTACCCTCCTCCCGAGTGTGGGAGGGACCCTGAGGGTGACTGAGCAGCATGGAAGCCTGGGCGAGTGAGAAGCTTTGGCAAAGGGAACTGCTCAAGACCTGCTGACCTGCCCTCCCTTCCTCTTATCCCGCAGAAAGGATTTGCTGGGGGCAAGGTGTCTCTGCGGGATTGTTTCAGCCTTTTCACCAAGGAAGAAGAGCTGGAGTCGGAGAACGCCCCAGTATGTGGGGTTCACGGGGGATACAGGAATGGTGGGAACCATCGGGGAACGTGATGTGGGCTAAGCAGGCAGTATGGTTCCTTGGTTTGGGGAAATAATATTTACGTCTGGGTTTGAGTTGAAGCCTCAGAAATGCACTGGTATTCCCAGGACAAAGGGACGTGACCCAGAGAACACAAGTAATGGGGAGCTTGGTGAGTTTGTGTGTGTGTCAGAAAAGTCAGCTGAGCTGAGGAGCCCATTCCTCTAAGGTAGCAGTTCTCAACCTGTGGGTCTCAACCCCTTTGGGAGTCAAACGACCCTTTCACAGGGGTCGCTCGATTCATAACAGTAGCAAAATTACAGTTATGAAGGAGCAAAGAAAATAATTTTATGGTTGGGGGGGGTGGCACCACAACATGAGGAACTGTATTAAAGGGTCTCAGCATTAGGAAGGTTGAGAACCACTGCTCTAATGCTTCCTGATAATTCATTCAGGTGTGTGACCGGTGTCGGCAGAAAACACGAAGTACCAAAAAGTTGACAGTCCAGAGATTTCCCAGAATCCTTGTGCTCCATATCCAAAATCTGGTTTCTCCTGGGCACACTCCTACCCACCCGCCCCCAACCCCCGCTCCCTCTTTAGTTCCTACCTTCCTGTTGTCAGAGGCTGGTCACTTAAGAATCAAGTTTTCCTTAGGAAAAACCTGTCATTCTGCCTTTTTCTGCCATGCTCCCAGTGGATGTTGGAGGAGGGGAAAGGGATAGCATTCAGGATTCTAGCGTTCTCCCCACTCTACCCCCTCCAGCCTCCCAAATGCTCCTTAACCACAGCTTAGATCTGAATCGATTTTCTGCCTCTCGGGGCTCCATCAAGAAAAGTTCAGTAGGTGTTGACTTCCCACTGCAGCGACTGAGCCTAGGTGATTTTGCTAGTGACAAAGCAGGTGAGTCTGATGGGGAAGGTCTTAAGGTACCCCAGAAGAGGAACATAGCTCCAAGAGTTGAATGTGACCATCTTTCACCCCACAGGAAGCCCTGTGTACCAGCTGTACGCCCTCTGCAACCACTCGGGTAGCGTCCACTATGGCCACTACACAGCCCTGTGCCGATGCCAGACTGGTTGGCATGTCTACAATGACTCTCGTGTCTCCCCCGTCAGTGAAAACCAGGTGGCATCCAGTGAGGGCTATGTGCTGTTTTACCAACTAATGCAGGAGCCGCCCCGGTGCCTGTGACACTCCCTTTAAGCCCCAGCACCTGTGAATCCCATGACACCCTTCAGCCCCAGACTCCCCATTTACCTCAGAGACGTCTATTTTTGTGTCTTTTTAATCGGGGAGGGGGGAGGGGGAGGTTGTAGCTCCCGTTATTTTTTTTATTAAGACAGACCCACCTGGAGGCTCCCTCGTCTCCTAGCCCCATGTACAGAATTCACCAGCCCCCTGCCCCTGTACAGTCCCCAGTCCCTCTGCAGTCTCACTTTTTGTGAATAAATTTATTAAGAAAAGGTGATGTCCTTATTTGTAGTCTTCTCTGGAGGGTAGGGTGGGATGGGGTGGGAAAAGAGACCTGGGTTGCTTCCTCACCCCCAGTCCTCCCTCTGAACAGACCAGGACGCCCTCGGCTCTTGGGTTGGGGAGAGGTGGGCAGTAATAAACTGATACCTGTAGCGGTGAACACTGGAACAGGTCCTCAGGTGTAACTTTGTAATTGTGGAAAATATTCAAGACAGTGGGCACGGGCTCCTCGTCCCATGTCAAGACTGAGAATGTTTTCCAATGGGTATATATAATGGGACTTATAGATCTTTCATAAGGCATGCACATCATGCAGCTAACATATTGCATAGTTAATAGGTAATCTCATAACCGACTAACATAATAAACAAGCCATGAGGTGAGTCAGCGTCTTGACCTAGTGCTGGTTCACCTCAAACCTCCCTGAGCCCTCCCCAGGAGGCTGCTACATTTATGGTGGGTTAGCTACAGAACCTACAGATAACCTTTAGGCACTGTGCAGTAGCCAGACACAGACATTATTTATATGGTAGCACCTTTATGGGGAGGGGGTTGTTACTGGAGGGGGTTTCTTTTATGGCGGGGGGGG